CGAGAGAGAGAGAGAGAGAAGAAGAAGAAGAGAGAGAGAGAGAGAGAGAGAGAGGGGGGGAGAGGGAGAAAGAAATTGCGAGCCTGGAAAAATGCGACGGAACCGCGCACACGGGGCAAATAACCGTGGTGGAATGATCGATGGAACGTCCGGTGCATCGTGTGGATTGCATTAATAACGACGATCATCCTAATGCATCGCGAACAATCTTACGGTCACCGATGTAGCGAGAGGGACGCTGCTTAGTGTCGGAAAGGACGGTACTCCTCACATCGATCAGTATGGATCGCATGGGAATAATCTCCGTCGGAAGAATGAGTGATAACAGTGATGCGGAGATCTCATCTAAGTAGGGCCGGCGACACGCGGCCGTTAACGTACAGGGGTTAGATTTCATCATTATCGCGACTGACGTCAACGCGTCGCGATGTAAGAAACAAGCTCACTCTTCGCAAATCACCAGTGATTCGACGATTCTCGATCGATGGACGTGAATAAAAGAATGTTGGATTAATTATTGAAACGTCGATCTGTCGACTTGGCCGATGCGCCGCAAGATACATCATTCGCGAACCACGATACATTTCCGCGTTATATCATTAACGACGTCGATCCCTAATTGGGAGAATGTGGCATCGACATTATGGGATTATGTCATGAGCGAATTATTAAACAACGGCTGTACTATTCCGTTTAAACCGTGGATCGCCGAGGGAAAACTGATGATTGAGATACCAAATGCTTTAATTTGTGCGACATAATACGAGATTGTGCGCTACACATTTATTCGCGCGCGGGTGGTGTGTATAGATGTACGGTGATACGAAGTGATTCTGTCCGCTCCGATCGAGAGTATGTAGAATGCCACGATCGTCGATGCGCGAAGTGTGCTAGTGGATTCATTTTTATCGCTGATTAGAGTCTCCTGAAAACGAGGATGCGTCTGAGATAGTATATCGATATGTGAATGAACCACGCCGGGGAAAAGCGATGTCTACTTCTCTTCCCACACTTGTCTGTTTTATAATTTGTTTTGGTAAGTGCATTACATTTACTAGATACGATAGATGCTTACCAAATTTATTACAAGAAAAATGCGCTACAAGAATTCGCGTTTTGATAACGCAATTGTATTAAGTAATTGCTTCAATTTGGGCGTTTATCTTACGATATCCATTTATATATCAGGAAAATATCAAGACCAAATATCAGGATTATTGAACGTTGATTAGCATTACAATATGTATGTGTAATAGCATATTTTAGCTATGTTAATCTGCCAGCTTAAACGTTTCAAATATCGAGGGAAAATCCAAGTTCATAATGACCACTAAATCAAACAGATCACGATTCTCGAACTACCGATGCGCTAATATCCGATGTATTTACGTTAATTGCATGCGCAATTATTGAAATACCTAATAAGAGTGGTATATTACGTGGTTTTAACTACGATATGTTATATTACATTCAAGTCAAGGGACGTACGTCCCAATTAATATTTCGTGACTTTATGCAGTCAAGTCACCAATGCAAAATTAAAGGCTTGTTGACGATCGCGACGTCATTCGTCGTCTACAAAAATCTACATATACTTATGCAATAATCGTATATGGCTGCTTCCGACATAAATTTTTATGAAAAATTCAAGGATTACGTCAAGAAAAACATATAACGTATAATTATCAAAATATATTTTGTATATTTTTAAAAGCATTGCCACATATAATAAACGCTTAAATATTTATAAAATAAATAAATAATATATAAAATTGTCATGCAATATGCAACAATCTAATGAATTTTATATATTTTAGTCAATTTTTCAACATAAAGTGATTTACGTTAAAAATGTAACACATTTTATATATTTGAAATAAAGAACAAAAGTTAACTTTATTTGCATAATGAGATATAGCAATTATCGAAACTGGCATTCATTGTCTGGAATAGAAGGATTGTTTTAACATCTTAATGAGTTAATTTTAACTTAATCTTAATGAGCAAATACGATTAATAATTGTAATAAATTTTTTATAAACGTCTTAATTATTTAGTATTTTTTTATAACTTATTTTCCATACTATTTCTTATATTTATTTTTACTATCTTTTTAAATATTTTATTCTGAATTTCTTTATGATATTCGTATATTTTTATTTTTGAAAAATTTGTGCAATAATATATTTATAATATATGCATTCTTATATACATACGGATAAAATATCGAACATTTTTTTCGGAAATACACCAATATTCAGCACTTGGTGTAAACGACATATCTGAAATTTTTTCATGGAAATATACAACATATGCTTTTATAAAGTTCGCTGATCAGCATGCTGACGATAGAAAAGTACTTTGAGAAAAAGGACGGAGTTTGTGAACTTGACGCTATTCATTCACGAACTATAATCAGAGAGATGGTCGAAGAAAAACGTATTGAATAAGCAGATTCTATCGATATTCGCATTTATGTTAATTCACAGCGCTGAATAAACAGTCGATAAAAATTTCAATAAAATGTATATTTCTGGCACAACGCATGGTCGTTTATGCTTCGAGCTGTTTTCGATTTTATGAAATTTGCCTAGTTAGAAATTCTATCTATTTCAAGTCCCATTTCACTCGAACGTAAAATAGCGAACGTTTTGCAGAGGTTGTGTGTAAATAAAAAAAAAAAGGCATCGGTTCTGTAGCGCGTGCATATTTTAACCGACCTACATGTAGCCATAGCTTCAATTACATACATAGCTTCAATTATAATGTACTGCGCTTCGTGGCGCATATACGCATACATATATACATACGCAACAATTTATTATCATTACTAATGCTTAAATAATAGTATGCCAATACTTAAAATTGTCGCTAAACGCATCCTGTCCCAATCCTAACGCTACTTTATGTCAATGCTAAAAATAAGAGAAACGTACGAACGTACTCAATTATGAATATTTCAAAGGAACGTATTATCGGAGTAAAGGCATGTTGAGATTTGTCAAATTGCATAAGGATTATTGGTAAAGTTTCGGGAAGACGGAATTACACGCGGATTAACGTGGATGTAATTTCCGTCCTTATTCGCCGCTGAATTCGCGTTTCTTCGACGAAATCAACGTAGCTGCGAAAACTCTCGATGATTTTCCCGCGTGTCGCAAACGTGCATACGTCTCACCGAATGAGACGTGTCACGACGACTGTCACACACCTGGACAGGATCCGGGAAAAAGAGGAAAAAGAGACCGGGACCGGGTATAACTTCGCTTAATACCATTGCATTCCACGTACCATTGCATTCCATCGCGATTTTTTCCATCTTTCTCGCACTTGTTCATCCGTTGTCACACACGACGGCGTAATTAAAAGCAACGACAGCGATGAACCGCGCATCATTGTGCGCCGTTAAAATTCAAATTTTAGTTAACTATTATCACAACCGACCGACAAAAGATGCAATTTTAATTCAGCCGCCTCAGAACGCAACACTGCACTACAATACATATAATATATATAGGTATAAACACAATAAATGCCGAGAGAGCGTACATAATGACGAGAATGATGCGCTTTTGTTTTTATTGAAAATTATATGACAGACCAAATTAATATTTCGATAGTAAGTCAACGCGATGTCGCACCGACAACTTACAAATTATCTAAATTAATTTAACAATTCTTTTCCAATTATATGATGACGTAACGCGCACGGTTGATCAAAAACAGATGATTGCGTTTATATCTGACGCGCTATAATTGACTCGCTTTCCGGTTTTGACGTTCTCCTCTGTCATCGCATGAGACATTCGCATCCACGCGCTCACCATTCATCATGCTTCAGACGTTTATTATCTAATGACTCATTAACAGTTACTCTCTGCCCATCATGATTCACGATTCGCACCGACGCGACGCGACGCGTCGTTATTAACACCATCAGGGAGAGAGAATTACGCGAACGTAGACATATCGACTGTGTTAAAACTTAACGAGCCGTACTACCGGAACGTCGCGGGTTATCGCAACGGCGAAGTTGAGGCAAAGACATCGTGTCGACATATGCTCGCTGCTCATTCTCGTTTCACTGTCCCCGAACAAGCAACGGGTGTCGGAGTTCCGCGTGTCAAAGTATAACGTAGCCTTGGATTCTATGGTATTGATAATGCGCTTTTTTATGTCGAAGAAATTTGCGTTTTCTTTTATATCTAATGTACCCGTCTTTTCATCAACAATACTAACGAGACGAACCGCGGGACTCGTTAGCGTATCGAGCGTACGTCCAAACAAAAATAATGCGACGGCATGCGACGACACCACTTACGCGTTACTTATTTGCAAAGTAATAGCATGTCGGAAGATTAATGGAAAAATTAAGAGCTTCCTCGCCTGCTTTCGTATGACTGATCGGAAATTAGCGACGCTGACAGCTGCCGGATGACAGAGTTCTCGCGAGGTCGCATAGCGGTGCCTATTTCCATCTTGTAGCGAAGCATATTGTAGCCGGGAGTAAAAGCGGCATGAAAAGTTTCGCGAAGTTGCTTATGCCCCATCTTCTCCCTATCGAAAGTCCCGGGTGTGCCAGCGTGCGTTCGATGGAAGACGGAAAGTCTACTAACTTCGAAGCGCGCAAGTAGTACATTAGGTAGATAGGTAAACAGATAGATAGGTATACATGGACCGGGCGTTAGCTATGTAGATAGATAAATGGATGGATATATGAATCGTTCGTTATGAGCTCGAAGATTCCCTACGGTAAAATCGATACAACAGAAACAAAGTGAAGCACGATAGATCTTTGTAACGAAGTCAGAAGCATAAACAAGAATGGAGTCCCCAGGGAGATTCATCAAAAATGTAATGAAGTGAAATACGAAATTACTCGGCTGTTTATGAAACTTCCCTCGCAGCTACGAACTGTTTGTTTGGCGAATATTTTCTAATTGTTCTGCGAAAGTTTTGTTGGAATATGCGTTGCGTTGCGAATTGTCTGAAATTAAATAGAGTTAACAATTATTATTAACTTTATAATACGACATTTCGCTGTAGCACAATTTACGTAAAAAGTTTTTATCGTATTATGTTATTAAATTGTTCTTTAATGTTAATATCTTTTTATTTTTACATTAATGCAATGTAAAAATAACGTTAGTATTTATTATATGCATTTCTAGACTAACAAGATTGAATATTTATGGAGATCTTTACAAATCTTTAATCGTATTACACAATTATGAATATAATACGTGCTCATTATTATTTCTATTATCATATTTCCCCATATTATTATTATAATATTAAAAAATTTTATCACTTTGCATAAATATTAATTATTATCGAGTGATCGACACATACATGTTACTAATCGGATAATTAGCTATCGTCATTAATAGTAGATTGGTTCATTTATCTAAATTTTTAAACGAATCAGATCAATGTAACGAGTTGTTACACGAGTTGTAACACTAATTTAACTAGATCATTGAGAGATCTTTTAAACGTTTCTGATGGCACCGATGTCAATGACGCAGACACACTCAATTTGAAGCTTTTTGCAATTGCACTGATCACATCCGATCCAATTTTTTTCTTTTTCTTCCGCCCAAATCGAAATGCGACCGCTGCCCGTAGAAGCTCGCACTAGTTGTCCATCGAGAGAAAAGGAATAAAAAAAAAAAAAAAACGTAAAAGGGAAGTATTCGAGTGCCAGGAAACAAAGTTGGCTTATCCGACTGTGGGAAAGGAAACCGTTTGCGCAAGAGAGAGACAAGGAATAACGGGAAATAGGATTTTGCGGTCGGCTGACTAAACTGGTCACTGTTCTTCGATTTTCTCCGAAAGAATTCACTTCTGACTTAACGAATGAGTCATGATAGCGGCACTAAGGTTTTTCTCACGAGATACGGAGATCTGAAGTAATTACAACAACCGTATGTAAAATCGTTCGTACTTTTCTCGCCGTGTTGAAACAACTCTCTACAATTTCCGGACAAGCTAGAGACGACGTCGATCTGATAAATCACGACGAAAAAAGGTGGAAGGTTACTAATAGATCTATATGGGTACCTACATCCTATCTCCTCCTCTATTAGTTCACGACTTGAAGTGATTCCAATTTCGATCAGTTTGCAGTGATATCCTTTTCTCCGTAGTAGCGAGACGATTTCGTTGAAATTCCATCACGGGAGATCGGAAAGACAACGATGATGTGCGCGACGGGTGGATGATCGAACCCGCGTAAAAATCGTTCCTGTGGATTCGAGCGCGAAATTAATTTCCGGCGAAGGATCACGGATAATCCGTCGTCTATGATAAACTTGCTTCGCAAACGCATCTTTATCTTTAGCTATCTCCTGCTATCTTCAATATATCTCGGATACCGATCAGATAGGGGGAGATCTTTAAGTTTACAATTGATTATAGACGATATAGAAAGTAATATTTGTTGAAAAATTGATTGACGAGGAGTGAAACAAAAATATGCTAATGTTTGAAGATTAACCAAGTTTAGATTACAAAAAAAGTTTAAGTAATTTATCGACAGCAAAATGAAGATGAAAAAAAATATTATAAGAATATTAATAAAGTATTTTCCCAAAAAAAACAAGGGACGGTAAATTACGACGTAAAATTAAACTGTTCGTTTGAATTTTAATAAAGAAAAACTACAAAGTGACATTCCGAACTGTCGATACATAACGGAAAATCCATGCTCGCCCAAGGACAAAATTAATTTCTGGCATAACAGGCTCTCGACTGATCCGATAATCAGGGGACTTGTTTCAACTTCCTTCTGGCGAAAAGGATCATAAAATTCAATCCACCGATAATTGTTTGAATCAATAGCAAAACTCATAGCATCAACAATATAACGTTTTACTAAGAAGATTTTAATCCCGATTGTTCTTCACGTCGTAACTACATTTAAATTAACTACGTACCTCTTTGCTCATATTAACAATTCTAAGAGTTGCATCGATAAGATGTGAAAATGTTTTGTCATACGAGAAATTATATTGGATCGTAAAATATAAAATGTGAAATGTCGTGACTACTTATTATCAACTATTTCCACATCCGTATAATTTAATTTGCATATGAAACGAAATGATCAATAACTTAATATTTCGCTTTCGTGTTCGGTTAATGCACGCAAATATGCGTATACATATTTAAACATCCTATTTTGAGTGCAAAGCGAAACAGCAATCGTATAAGATTAATTTATATCAACAGTCGTTTGAAATAATGTTACATTAATTAAGTTACAGCTAATTCATTTCTAAACATATAATTAGAGACTTAGAACAAACTAGTACATACAGATAAATTATTAAAAAATAAATTTGTTTGGATATATGTATTTTATGCCCTTTATAAGAATATTTAGATATAGTTACAAATATGCTAAAAATTTATCTCAGTAGAAAAAGATAGAGTAGAGAAAATACAAAAGATACAGTTAAGTAGTTTATGTCTCAATTGAATCACCTATCCTAAGTGAATACGTCGTTACGGAAATAAATATCGTCGCTCCAATTGGCGGGCATTCCTCGGCCGGAAATTTCGATGAAAGGCGCGCACGGACGAACTTTTCTCGCGTGGAACGCGGCAAAGTTCCTACGGAAGAATCCGAGTAGGAAAATTAATTTCGCGAGCGGGAAACGGACGACGTGAGACTCGTGCGAGCACGCCTGCATCGAACACGTTCGAGGGAACGCCTTCAACATCGAGAAGGCCTCGAAAACGAACTCAATGAGCAGCGGTCTCGCGAACCTCGAGGTCGAGCTCTCTCTCATCACGGAAGTGCTTCTGCCAGAAAGTTTTGAAAGGCAATTACGAGGGTTATTTTATGACAATATGCGCGCACACGGCCCTTGAGTGCAACGTTACGTCTGGAAAATCCATACGTTTCGAAGTTTTGTATTATCCGCAGCAGCACGACGCACGTCGACCAGCATTTCGAAAAGTTCGACGAAATTGGAGGTACGAAGAGAAATAGAGTGTGCCAGCGGCGATTATGCTTAACCCCGTCATCGATGAAGTTTGATATTACGCGCACGTCTACGTCGCCTTTAAACTTCATGGCGCTTACGAGCCCGGAAGCTATTCTCCCGTTAAAGTCCGGAGATTAACCGTTGTCTTGCGGCGATGTTAAGAACATGAAGAATGCGTCAATTTTATCACGCCAATGCAATTTTGAAAAAGATGAGAAATAAGAATTATTATGATTGATTGCGATAAAAAACCTGATGCAATTATAAGTTTTGTCTTAACTCAGCCTTTTTAATGTCTATTTATTCTTTATGTAGAGATAATTATCTAAACCTAAGTATTAACAAAAATGATTCTCGGTATAATAATGGGCAATAATAGGGCAAATGAGAATCAGCGCTGTAGACGATGCACAAATTACATTTTCAATTTTAAATTTATTAGTAAAAAGTTCCAAAACGGTTTGACTCAAATTTGAGTTTAGGAAATGAGAATTTATTGCTCATTATTTCCTTAAACTTAATGCAACTTTTTAAATGTTTGTAACATTTTTTTTATTTCTGTATAGATTTGAAGAAATTGAAATTAATTTCACATTAAAATTAGGTTTTTATTATGTATATATGTATATATATATATATATATATATATTGTAAAAGATATTATTCGTCGAAATAAAACACACCACATACACATACACACACACACATTTCTTTTTTGCTCTTTTGACGAATAATATCTTTCTACAATTCATTTTACGTCTGAAATCAGCTTGATCAAATTATAATAATTCAAGAATTTAGTGGTTAAATATCGACGTTGACAATATATAATGAGGAAGTAGAGTAAGTATCTCCGTCCTGGTTGAAATCAACTCTGGCAACGAGCGAGAATACATGCAATTCCGTACTAATCGCGAACTCGCCCTAAACATCGTGCAGTTGGAAATTCGTGGCGCACGGCTGTCTGGCTTTGTGAAGCACTTGACGAAATATAATTCGCAACTGAGAAAGTGCTTGCCCGCACACAGCTGATCCGGAAGTGCAATTCTCGAGTTGGTGATAGTTCGTGCGTGCACCTCAAGTATTTGCGCCGCTGCAGTTACCGCTGTATTTCCTCGTCTTAATCAAGAATCGCGAATTCGAGTGTAAGAATACGGATTACGCGAAATGGATGAATTATTGTCAACGTCGAAAAATATAGAACCGAGTTACATTAGTTAAAATCAAAATCTCAAAATGGCGCATAACAACGCTCGTACTTACATTTTAAAACAAAGATTTATGTTTGTTTTTTTCTTTCACATTTTTCTCTGGAAAAATATACTCTTCATATAATGTAACGCGTAAATATGCAAATGCTTGTTTATTCAAAAAGCAGCGGTGCGAGCATTTCACTGGGACGCATTTGGGATACATTTATCAAAGAGGTAGAAAGATACTTAATTAAATTATGTTTAATCACAATTGCACGTCTCACGCAAAAATGCGCAACAACGCATTGTTTCAAAATTATAGAATGATGAGGTTAATAAAAACTTAATAATAGAAATAATACGGATATTTTCAGTTCAACAATGACGGTAATTTGATAATGTTATATAATATAAAAAGTAATTTCCAACTAAATATTTACATTGCACTGGTAGAATTACATTACATATATTACTAATGGCGATTTTTGCTACCTGCGTTTTAAGCAAAAATGGAGATGGAATAATCACCATGAATCAGATGTGCTATTTCATGTGTTCATTATTCTACAAATAATATTCGTCAATTTTTACGCTACAGCGATACAACTGTATATTGAAAATTGAATTCAATTAAAGGCGACTGTTACCAGTTAACGAAATCCAACATGACTGAAAACAAAGTGTATTGGGACTAGGATTACTTTTCAAAAATGTTACGCGCGAGTTTTTTGGTTTTCCAGTGAAAACTCTGCAATCTATTTTTTTCAAGATTTTTTTTTTAATAGGAATTTTCAATACTGAAATATACGGCTTATTCAGAAAAAAGATGTACTACCATGTATGAATTAATAATAGTATATAAAAACACATGGCGCACGTTTCAAAAGAAATTGCTGTCGCGTTTTAATAAAATATATTCTTTCTATGCTCTTTCAAGAATTTGGGATTATATTCACAATGATAGATTAACAAATTTTGTAGCATACAATAGTGATATCTTAATCTGTCAGATGTTTAAAGCGCGCGCTTTTATAAAACTGCTACCGTTTTCTATCGCACAAATTTTCTCTGTGGAATTAATTTATTTCAATAAAATAATCTTCCCGTACGTTTTTTCTGTAACGTTCACAAGATACGGGAGAAAAAATATCTCTCGAATAGCACGCGTGATACGTTTAGCAGCTAGTAAATGCACATGCGTGTACACGGTATCGCGCGGATTTCAGGGGAAATCCGGTCGTAACGTCGCGCTGCCGTCACGAAAAGGAACGTTACCGTCACGTCAAGATATAATGTGATGTATTTAAATAGGTCCGTTCGCGTACTGCCACGCGAACTTTCACGTGTACGACTGACGTGACGCGACAATCCGTGATGTTGATGCTACGTACGATCTCGAATCTGACGCGACCGACTGATTCCGCCTAATGCACTTCAAGAGCCAAGTGGCCTAACAAAATGTAATGTATTGCAAATCCGCCAAGGGTTGACGAATGCTCGGAACATCCCATCATACGCTGACTTCAGACATATTCTCATGTTTGAACATTCACTGACATGTTGTAGCGGAGCATACAATTATCTGTTAACGGTTTGACAAACTAATATATAGTCGCGTTAGAAAGAGGGTAGAAAATTTACGATGCTGGAATTATTATTATTCCCATAATTTTTAATTTTAATTCGTTAATCAAAGCTTAAATGTAAACCTATAAAAGATTGATCTTTTTCGAGTATCTATAATTTGCGATTTATCTTCTTTACGTGATTTTAAATTTTCTGTGAATAATGTTTCTTTTCCGAGAGATTAATCATGAAGGTACTTTTGTTTTCAGGTGGTATAGCGTCATGTTTACGAAACTTTCGGACTGATTTCCTGGAGGAATGGCCGACGCCGGGTACCGGGCCCCACTTCGATATCTCTATGCAATCGAACTTCACCGGGCTGGTGGGGAAGACGGTACATCTCGTGTGCAAGGTGAAGAACTTGGGGAATCGAACGGTGAGCCATCGGAAAATCCATCGTCTGGTTCGTGACCAGAGGCGCTATATCTTAGCTCGAAGCGGACAGTGCGCTGGCCAACTACCCCACGTCGCTGTTGAATAATTTAAGGGTAGGGCCGCACGAACGACCTTGCGACCCTTCCTCGCGATCGTAGCGGATACTTTAACGGCGTATCACGTCGCCAGATTTGCCCGCTCACTCGCTCGCCATTGAGAAATCTGTTAAACAACTTTCTAATCGATCGATGGTCCGCGAATGGAAAGTTGGAGTGTCACTCAAATCGTATCAAAGTACCGATACCGTGTCAAGAAAAAGTAACGAAGGCGCGAATTATTCAAATAAAATATATAAGAAACTTAAAAGATTCTTTGTGACGAGGGTCACAAAGTACATCATATGTCACATCACTTTTATTAAGATTGTAAGGTGTATCTAACTATGTAGTTGTCGAAATTGATCGTGAATATTTTAGTCTGCATATAAAATTTATATCGCTGAGATTTTCTTCTTATGACCAAGCTATTTTTGTTTCTTATTGTTATACCTGATATAATTGCAACGATGGCAACCGCGCGCATCACGCGAACGAGTGCACCTCTATGGGGACGCTTCGCTTATGAAATATAAAATCGCTGTTCTTATACGGTGAAGTCCGTGGCGCGGTTCGTCCAACGTAAATGGGGCTATTAAATAAACATTACTGTTCCTTCATCGTACACGGTGCCGGCGTCTCATGAAAAAGGCAGGCGATGTTAGCGTTTATGTTCCTGCATTATTAACCGCTCTTCTTATACAGTGAACGGAAGCGTTCTTTTTGTGTATCGCGCGTCGGCGAATTATATCGCTTTGAAAATTCCCCTTCTGCAATTATATTGGCTTTACAGATTGTTCTGACTGAAAGTGTTTTGATACTCGAGCGTGTCGTCACGCTATTCGCATATCGTTTAGCGGTATTACCTTCTCATATGATAATTCTCCACATTTGCGTTTAAACATCGCAATTAATTCCAATTATCGAACGATATCGCTAAGTAAAAATGCGAAGAAAATATTGAAAATGTGAAGAATGAAAAATTTGCAATCGATCGCCTAAGTACGAGATAGCATGACCACACACGATCAACCGATCGTAATTTTTTTAAAAACGCCACTCTACCTATAAAACTGGTATATCGATAGTCCTTCCTGTTCTATTCTAACTGCAAATTTATTACTAAATTTTAGGTTTGCGTGTGCTCGTAATGAAGCTTAAGGTAATTTCCAAGAAATTATCTTGTTACATTTTCTTCGTTCTAGAAGAAATCAAACGTTCCGTTGATAACCTTAGTTTAGGGCTTTGATCACTTGGTATTGCGATCACAATGGACTCTTAATTTCATCGAGACACTCGCGAATTACGGTACTCTTCTTTCGTTTTCATTAGTCACCGGATCGAGGCCGAAGTGTTTACTCTCGATAAAAAAAGCTTCAAGTGGATTGGAACATTTGTTATTCAAGCTTGCAAAAGCCCCATTATGTTCGACGCCCGCGACGCGCGTTTAATCCTTTCGAGCTTACTTCGCTGACACGATATCATCGGATCCACTATGATATATGACGCTATCATAAGCGCGCTGAAAGATCAAGCGCTTCCTACTACCGCAGGGTTTGCGAACGCGAAGGCGCATAATTACCGGCTGTTTGCTCGGACCGTAGCTAAGAAGCTACGGCAAATACATCGCGGATGATAATGGTCGTCTTCATTAGTAGACACCGTAATCCGTCGGTTTGAGATCGGCTTTCCTTCCCAGGAGGCAGATCAACGTCACCGTGTAGTCCGATCTTCGCAATTATTTCAATGGAATGTAATGAATTTAAATTGTTAATAGCGAGAACTCAATAGCTTAACATAAAATAGTACTAACCGAACTAATTTCATATTAATCGGAGTACCATTCGTGTTCTCGTTCCTTTGTGCGTTCAATATCCAAATTAAATTTACCTTTTAAAAAAAGATCAAATTTAAGGGAAAAGATCGAACAGATTGAAATACCAATACATTACATTAACAATACACTTTATTTGATATTTTAACTTACATTATTTGTAATGCATTTTACAAATAATGAAAATGGAACATTTTATATTCTGATGAATTCTCATTTGATTATCGCTGCGTATTGTTATGCTTTAGTTTACGCTGCGTATACTTGTAGATAAATCCACTGCTTTGATATCGCAGCGATACTATAACAACGCAGCGAATCATTGACCGCGTGATTATCTTTTGCATTTCCAGATATTCATTTCGCGGCCTTCCGATAATAATTGGCGATCGTGCAGTTTATTTGTTGCGTAAACACGAGAACGGCTCGTAATCGCGCTCGCACATCGAAAACGCGTGGCTTAAATATCCACAATGGATCATAGATTAACGGCAGGTTCGACGAATGATGCAAAAACTTGATAAACGAAGCGTAATCGTAAACAGGGATTCCCATGTTTACGCCGTTCGATATTACATGATATTTCTGTAATGATTTATTGAATATTAATCGAAATCTCTCTCTCTCTCTCTCTCCTACCCCCTCCCACTTCGAATATTCAAATCGCGCACAATTACGTGCTGTCAACGCACCGCCCTGATTCGCGAAATTAACCCGAATGAACAAAATGTGTACTGGATGCCCAATTTATTTGAATGACGACAGATGTTGACGACATGCAATCTTGAATTGTGGATATAACGTTGTTTTGAGGCCTGAGGCTAATAATTATAATTATTATAAATAGAAATACCGATATGAGAGATTATCAAAAAGGCAGGCTACGCTTTTTGTATTAGTTCAATGTAATAAAAGCAACTTTGAAAAATTTTGACAAGTAATTTTCAAAGTAAATCAAGTAATTATCCCGTGCGATTTCTTAACGGTTAAACTTTTAAAACTTTTATGTACTTATATAGATATTCCTTAGAATTTTATAGCTCGAGATGCATGTTGTCGCGCGCTTTTACTTTGTTTCAGTCGTGCTAAGCTAAATTACTGTCAGTCCGCTCTGGACGAGGTTCTTGCCTCTTTTCTGAAATAAAAGCAACACTATGCTACAAAGCACTCAAGATTATTAGAAAGCGTTGCTGCGCTCGTTGTCTTTTTATTGTTCGCGCTACAAAGATTGACGTATCCTTGTATCGTAAACGTTTCAGTCAATCTTAGTCCTCCCTTCTTTCTACAAGAACTCGTGATTGAAGAACCGATCAAACAAAAGGGAAGCTTTATATTTGTAGTGTTTTGTTATTATCGGCTTTAAAGCTTACTGCATATTAATAATGTATAAATCATTTACTCTGAACCAACTTGAAATATTATCATATTATTAAATTATTATTGTTGTATTAAAATATTAAATTAACGTAACATATACAGCACAGTAGATAATAATCATTTATTAGTAACAAGATAGTTGATGCATTTATGAATGATTGGAGATCAGATTGTATATAATATTCAAAATTACGTGAGCATACACGAGGATATTTCTCTAAACATCCAACAGCGAGATTCCTCGAGCATATATAATTAATATTCTTATATTGCAATATTGAGCACTCAAGCATAATGCACGGTCATATTTTCGCTTCCCGTTATCGTCGAGTCGCATAAGCGTACAGAACTGCACAGAGGTAACGCTGTGCATAGTATTGTGCACCATTGCCACGCGGAGGTTTCAGTTGAATTTCGCCAAACAATGCAGCAATTAATGCCAATGACACATACGCGTCATCTGGAGTACGCGAGAGCTCGCGCAAGTGTCGGGATTTGGTGCTGAGATGGGACAATGCGAAATCTCCATCGTAACATCATATCTGCATCCCGATGTGACTCCACATAGACGAATGTAGAAACGCGACACCCATCCCATGGTCTTGTGGCTTTTAAACCCTTTATTACTTTGACGCGAAGCTTGCGTAAGTTGAACGTGTGATATCGTGATTTATACGGATTTATATATATATATATATATATATATATATATGGATATTCTCGACGAGATAAAATGTATGCGTTATCTACGAAAGTAAAGTAATTAATCACTTTTTTTTATTCAAATTGAATTTATATTTTTATACGATGCAATACGTTTTAATATAAGTTTTAATTACATTTTTTCTTTGCAACTTTTTCGGTATGAAAAGATTTTTTGTTGAATTGTAAAATATTTATGGTTTTCAATTTTGTATAAAACGTTTGACTTTATTCGCGTCGTTCGAGTTAGAGAATGTAATCCTTCCATTTTGCAAAAGCCCGCGCTTTAAAGTTGCATGAAGACGGCGAATTCAGATGAATGCAAGTACAGCAAAACGATTGCGACCGAAAATCCTCGCGACACTAGAATCTGTAGAATCGATTTCAATAGTCGGCTACCAAAAGCCGATTTTGTATTCGCACAGCGTGTTAGGTGTGCACGGCATGACAGTTGCGACGCCTCTGTTTTCCTCGTCCCGTTCTTCAGCGCCGGCAATCCCGTCGCTTCGTCAGGATGGATAGATTTTGTTTGGCTTTCAGCCGGCAACGCTAATGCCAATAACACGGTCGTGTCATCTCGAGAGCTCCAGCTGGCGCAGGTGCCGGATGCAGGGCGAACCAGGACAAAACGAATCTCTCCATGGCAACGTCACTCTCGTCGAGAGGACGTCAACCCGCGATCGGTTAATACATCGAAGTTTACGTAAAATGATCCGAAAAGCGCGGTGTGTTCGCTCAGCCTGTTCAATCTCACCAGATAC